TGTTAATTTAAATTGGTGCTGTCTCCCTTAAAATAGGGTAAAAAGACGACGCTTAAATAATCCAACATTCATCTCCATTATACCCGAAATACGTTATTAACAAATTGAACATTTTTATTCATCTAAATCTAAAACCATTCCGCATATGTTCACCATTTTTGTTTTTGTTGTTTTTTTTTTTGGTTGTCATTATAATTGTAAAGCCTCTGTATTATATTGCATTTAAATTTTAATTAACTTCCTTATAAGAGAAACTCTTTTTGTTCTTTAGGTTCAGGAAAACAATACAGGGAAAAAGGAAATAGAAATGAACATTTTATCAAAAAATAATCTTAAGTATTTTGTATTTAATCTTTGAAAAAAAGGAAATAAAAATACATGGAAAAGATTATTCCTGATTATTTGATAAAGGGTGCTGCAGCAATATGGATACGTATAAAATCATGATAGTTCTCTTAACCTGTATATGATTGCGCCCATGACAAAAGGGCCTCATGGCATTTTTGCTAAAACAGAGAAATAACGTCATAAAGATGTGACGTTGCAGACTGACGGTGAACTTCGACGCAGAATTTTTTTAACCACGTGTTTTGACGTTTGACGCATCCAGAGTTTTTATTGCTGTTTCCAACATGTGGAATCTATTTTCACTGATAAATTAATTTAATCAATATCCGAATCTCTCAATCCACTGATTTTAATAGATATCAATAAAAACATTTAGAACTGGTTTCTTAAAAACATCTATTATACGTCTCTAATACCAAAAGTTTTCCTACATGTATAGAATTATAGGCTGTCATCTTCGCCGAAGATGAGAAGCTGTCGACAAGGTGCTTTCCTGATAGGATTATAAATCAACCTCTATACTCTAGATAGATAAATTTTAATTTATTTACATATTTATACTAGATTTAGGATACAAGTTAGGAGTACATTGTTAAAATATTGCAAAGGAAAATTGTCTTCCTTTTTTGAGATCCGCTCCACCACTCTCGCTATCGCGTCGATCACATGTAAACATTGATCCAGACAGGGACAGAGAGACAGAACATTGATCCATCGGTGCATACTGCTTAATCTTTTGTTAAATTGTTTGTACTAATGTTGAAACTAAACATATATATTCTACGTTTTTACAAATTTAGCAAAAATGTGTAAGAATGACAGTCAAGATGTTTGTATTTTCTATAAATAAAAAATAGGAGAGATAACTCTGATGTCAACAATCGATGTAACAGGGGTACCAGAGAGGGACTGTCATTCGCATGAATTTGCTCCCGGATTATAAAAGAGATAAAAACACTTTTAATTGTCAGCATCAACACTTTTAATTGTCAGCATCATTATAATTTTTTAAATAAAAAATATTGTTGTACTTTGGGAACAAGGTCCCATTAATGTAGAAAAGGAAAAACAAAGAAAAAAAAAGGAAACCTGTAGCATTGAACAAACGTACTTTAATTTTTTTTTTAATCTTTCATCCATAGCTTTTTTTTTTTTTGCATGAAATAATCTAATAACGAATTTCATTTTTTTTAAAAATATACATGTATAGTATCTACCGTTTCATGAATCATGATTAAATAAATTAAACTTTAAAAACGTTGTTTTGTCTTAAGGTATCCGATCCATATTAGCCTCAGATTCAATGGAATTGAATGCATAACAGATATGTATGGGCTGAATAATCAGTGTAGTTAGAACTAATTTTCATCTTTTAGTATAAGAATGTAAGAGTGGGACATGTCCTAATTTATGACCTTTTCCTGCCTTTGACGAGTTATATCCCTTTGATTTTACTCAATAAAAATTAATTTTAAAAAAATCTGTCGGGTAAAAAAATTATTTCTAATTGTTTTTCTATTCCCAATGATCGAATACATCTTTCCACCACAGCATTTTTTGATATTTGTAGTATTTAATTTTTTATCTTAAAAAACTTACTTTCTTCCATAGACTTCAATGCAATCTTCAATATTTAATTTCTGCTTAGGTTATAAAATTTTTGAAAATTTCTCTTGGTAAATCCCTTTCAACTTTAAAATGCTGTAAAATAATATCAGGATATTTTACAAACAATTGATATTTAAGGTAACAAATTTTGATCCTAATATGGGTCGGATACCTTAATTATTTTCTTGTTGCACTAAGACACTTCAATTTAGAGAAATTAAAACAAGCAAAATGAAAAAAAATGTTCTAAATGTACTAACTTAAACTTGAGCTGGTCAAGTTAATCTGATGAGAGAGAGAGAGAATAGAGGGTATAGATAAAAATATTTATATTGAATCTATTTATCTTATATTGAGATATGTGGAACTCTGTTGAAAAAAGATGAGTTTTCAAAATAAACAAAGTAATAAAATACTTTAAAATGAAAGAAAAAATCTTTTTTGTTATTTAAACTACATGTTTGGGTATTAATTTTCAAGGTCTCCAAACTTAATATACTTGTAACTCTTTGGTACTTACGTGTTTTTGTTTTTTATACATAGTTCAAATGTTTTAAGCATTATCTGCAAATAAATCCCTGAAGCCATGAAGAACTTTGTCTTGATCAGCATTGAATGTCTTTTAACAGATCACTTATCATGCTAAAAAGTTAAAATCCCATTTCTTCACTGGACTTATAATCTCATTGCACTTATCAGTGTGGAATATATTATTTAACATGCCATCAAATTATGGATATATAATTATCATTATACATGTATAAGCACATATAATGATTTTATTTGTTTTGATTGACAAAAAACTGTTATAAGTTCAGGGTCGGGTTTTATTTCTTCATGTAAATGCTGAGTCAGACATAAAAAAAATTCAATGCTGAAAATACACGACATAAAACCGCAACGACATGCTTGCATTTTGTTTTAATTTGGACGTAGTGCAGGGGATAGGGGTGTCCTTTTATATCTCCGTAACATGTAAGGCTTTACAAGGCTTAGCATATCAAAGCTTCTGGCACGTGAACAGAATGGAATTCATACTCTGTTGTAAAATTCACTTCATAAAATAAAATTACAAAACAAAATCATTAGAATGAAGGGGATTTTTTAAAATTAAGTCATAAAATAATATGATGAATTTTCTAAGATGCTTACATCTCTACAAAAATCTGACATTTCAAAACTCAGCCAGTTCACAGACAATTGTCAGAAGAAATATATACAAAACAGTATCTGACTGTATATTTAGGTATGGACAATTACATGTTATTAATTTTTCACCCACCCCTACAAAATCTTTACATTACAATGCATGATTCAAAAAATTACAGGATGAAGTTATTGATTTGTCTACTGGATATTTTCTTATCTGTTTGGATACGGTAAGTCAAAAAAGAAATATGTTATAATTAATATCATACAAATACGTTTTCGTTATTCCCATCAATCACACAATTGTGTAATGAAAACATTATTTAAAATGATTTCACCTTAATAAGACGTTCCGAATGACTTTTATCAGAAGAATACAGTCAGCACTGCAGTGGTTAGAACGTTAGTCCGAAAAATCTGGCGTTTTCCAGGCTTTTTTACGATTTTGATATCTTAAGTGCGAGGAAAACGGCGCCTTTACGAAAACCGGGAAATCGCCGCCTCCAACAGCAGATGGCATTCTCGAGTTGATTTTAGATACTTGCGAACCGAATTAAATTTCAAAGTCACAAGTTATCAATAGTACAAGACTTAAAGTACCTACCAATAGAGTTTTTGAATTGTTCATTTATAAAATATACAATCCGTTGAAAAAGTTTTATCACATTGTCGAGATTTGTCATCGTTTCGTGAAATTAAAATTCTTGCAACTCTGTAACGAAATGTGGAGAGATATTTTCTTTTCATCGATATTGGTGAGTACTAAAGGCATTGTTCTTTTGATAAATTCTAATTTCGGCATTTAGTTCGGTTCGCAAGTTTTAAAAATGAACTCCGGTTGGAGACGGTGAAATTCCCACTTTTCGTAAAGGCGCCGGTTCTGACGTTTTCCTGGCATGTAAAATATCAAAATCGTAAAAAAGCCAGGAAAACGTCAGATTGTTTTGACTATTAGAGCGTCTGCTCTAGAGTACCGGAGCAACGAGCTGATCCTTGCGTCGCGGATTTCGAATCCCTTTGTGGGACGCGGAGACAGGCCCTTTGGACTACACCTTATAAGCCCAGGTACCGTGTCGAAGTAGTTTTTTTTTTTGGCACGAAAAAGCCCCCTCACTGCTCAGTGGCTCTGAGTGTCGATTATTGGTCAAATTTGCAGTTCTCCTCCGGCAAGTGGTGACCCCTAGATACAGAAGAATAATTCCCTAGAGGAATGTTAAACAACACACAAACAAACATACATTCATTTATTTGCACAAACACTTAGTACATATGAATGAAGGTTTCTTTGTCTGAACGAGGATTCTTTTAAATTTTGGAATCCTTGAGTCGCCCGTGTTGTACAGTGGTTAGAGCGTCTGCTCTACAGTCGCAAAGTAATGAGTCGGTCTTTACGTCGTGGGTTCGAATCCCCCTTTGGGTCGTGGAAACCGGTCCTTCGGATGAGACCGTATAAACCGAGGTCCCGTGTTGCAGTAGATGCTGGCACGGGAAAGATCCTTCACTATTCAATGGCCATGAGTGCCGAGTATATGAGTGAAAAATTCTCGAGGGGACATCAATCAATATACTATCAATCATTCGGAATTCTTGATATAAGACAGACCGAACGTATAAAATTTGCAGTTATAGGAAACGGTGAACGGGGAGGGGGGCTCAGTGTTCTTGATATAGATCTTAGTGAAACTTGTTAAACTGAAGTTGCACAAATCGCTGAGAGTTTGAAAAGATTAAAGTGAGTGATACCGTAAAAAGAGTAATCAAGTTAAATTCAACAGCGAAGATTTCTGATTTCAAGAAATTAAAACTCATTGCTCCCTGATCGCAAGTGCAAGAGAGTTTAAATATCCCTTTCCCTTAAGAAATATTAAAAGATGTAACAGACTTAGAAATAAGAACGAAACCATACAGAATCTTGAGATTAATTACTGCTACATGTATTTCTATGTACAAATGTATGTACCTGTATTTATTATTTCTTTAAAACGAGTTTTTTAAAAAAAAAAAAAGCCTTCAAGATTTGTTCAATTAGGTTTACATTAGATTATGTTAATATTTGTTTTAACTATATAATCAGCAAAAGAATGAGATATATTTCATATGCAAAATAATGATGCGTTTCTGTTCGTGAACCTGAAAGGCTTGCACAACTTGCAATTTTGCGCCAAATGTAATGGAAAGAAATCTGCGCACCTTTTCCGTGGAATTCTTAACTGATGAAAAAACGATACACAGAATGTAAACTTATTATTGATCATAATAATTATTTTATATCAAACTATAATGCAAATCATTTCGCATTTTAATTTCAAACGTATATTGTTAAATATATATAGCTTCTAACATTATACATGTACGTATAAAATAATTGTTAAATAGATGAAATTGTGTCTGTCTCAACTTTTTAAAAATACGTTTCTAACAATGTATTCAATAAACATGTATTTGTAAAATACATGCAAGTTCTTTTTTTTTTTTAGAGGAATTATCACTGAGAAAAACAGCCAAGCAGTCTACAATTTATCCAAGTAGTCACCCCTTCCTGTATGGTCCAGACAAGGCGGTTGATGGTTATAGAACCACATGTATGAGGACATCCGGAATAGGAACCATCCTTCCAGATAAAACTGTATGGTGGACCGTTGATCTTGGAGGAAACCACAACATTTACAGCATAAGCATCGCTTTTAGAGATTATGGACCACATTATGGTGATACATTATTAATATTATTTGATTTGATAAACATTGAAAACTTGTATATTTGATCACATATTAGAAGCATTTTTTGACGAGGTGTATCATTTCATTTAGCTACCTCTACTGCATTTAAAAAATCACTTCCATATCTTAAACAAAACACTTTTTGGGGCTTAATGCTTTGGGGAAATGTTTATGAAATAAGCAAAATTCAGACGATTAGGACAGCCCGCTGTCGTGGTGTTATACTGATTGTGGTGAAAAAGTTCTGTTACATTTTGTCTGTTCTTGAAAATGTTACTGTAAAATTTAAAAATTTCTGAAAATCAAAGCAGTGTAAATAACACGTTCAAAATCACAGTAGACATAGAACTGATTTGTGAAAAATATGAAATCCCTGTCTTTTTAAATGCCAAGGATGTGTCTAAGGTAAAATTGTTTAAAAATAGGTTATGCTACGAAGCTCAAGTCACTAGGCCAAATCATCATAAAAAGCCTCGTTTTATCACGTTCAAGGTTATTAAAGTGATACCTACGGTCAAAATTCAGTTCTTATAATGTGTTGCCACAGGAAATGCACTTGGTAATATGAAAAAAATATACCTTTCAGTAACTCATGATCACAATGTCATTTAAACAAAAACAAAAAAAAATATAGAGTTTAGAGTGCAAGTATACGTGAATTATTAATTACAAATGCTTATTTGATGACTAGCTGAAGAATGTATGGTTAGCATAATTCAGAGACATCGCATAGTTACTGTTACTTTGAAAATGACAACAGCTACAAAATATAATGATCATTTTCAGAGATGAGACAAAGAGGTCGTTTCGCTGGATTTTCCCTTTACATTTCCAACACTTCCAACAAAGAGGACGGCCATCTTTGTTACAAGAACACACTTCCATTGCCTCCTTTGGAGTTTAATACAACGTGTATTGGATATGGTCGTTACGTCATTTATTACAACGAAAGATTGGACGGAGTTACCTACCCTGAAGGATACCAAACAAATACTTTTACTGAGTTATGCGAAGTAAAAGTTTATGGTCTTTAACAATTTTCTCTAATTTTTGTAATATTCTTCATTCAATCACAGTGTATTGCACATGAGGCATCTAGCAAAGGACAACATAGGCTGAGATCCCTTTTTGGCCTCTGAGTTGGGATATCTTTTAGAATTCTGCAATAGATGTCAAATTGAAAAGAAAAAAAAACTGTTGTCACCCCTGCCACAAAATGAGTATTTAATTTGGTTGGTCGTTATGGGATACACAGATGTCAAAAAAATTACCAAATTTCTCATTCTTATACAAATTCTAATCGATTTCACGGCACATTTTGTTTCAGAAAAAAGTTCAATCTTGCCTATCTACCAAATTTATATATTCATATTCTAGTACCAGATGTGTTTTTGTTAAAAAATATCTCTGATAGGCAAGCTTATGCTCTATGTTTCCCGAACAGAAAAGTATTTGAAAATATGACATAATTGCACAAGAATAGAGAAAATTTGGGAAAATGTCCTACGTCTGCACCCCCTGCGGCGTCTGTGTAAACTTTGAATCAAAATTAATTTCTGAAATAAGCATAATTTAAAGTTCTTAACCACAAACTATCACACTTTCAACAGTGTTCTGAATTTTACATCATTATATGACGAAATGCAGCCAAATAACCTGTAAATCTCCGTTCATTAAACAGTGAGTTTCGTTTTGATATTTTCTTGTTATATATTTCTAACCAATAAATTTTGTTGAAACAATTCAGCTTGTTTTATATTATTTGGCCTTTTGCAGTTTTGGTGGTGTAATTATAGGATTTTATGCTTCCCATGAAAAAGGGAACAAACTGCTTACCATCTATTTGTAGTTCATTTTACCAAAGTGCTGTATCCTAATTATCTTAGAATTCCTTTTCCTGACATGCAATTGACGTGGTGCCCACTAAAGAGTAGATAGGAGGTCACAAGGGAAAAGGTCAATGGAATATATTAGATTAAAAAAAAATATTTCTTGAAAATCCTTCGCTTCAGAGACATCAGAATCAGTACAGAGCCTCCTTTTAAGATGTCAGCTCAGTATCTAAGTACTTCAGGGCAATTATTTCAATATTAAGAATTATCTCCCTTTTGCATGGATATACTAATTCTTTTCGTCCTTCGTTCAGTGAAAAAAATTCTCGAACAACAAACTTCTTTTCTAAAGACAATAGATGGCCCTTACTTTCTTTGTAATCAGCGAGCCAGGCAACTTGGACACAAGGAGAAAAATGTAAACTGAATAATTTGAGAACCACTTGCTCTACAAACATCTTGGCATTACCAAATGAAAATAAATAAAAGAAAATGCAAAGAATATCAACATATTTGGATATTCTTAATTTCTCAAATTTCTTATTCATCATTAATAAAGATTAAAATTATAATGTTATTCATCAACTAAAAAGATTCATTTACCAAATATGACTTGTTTTGATTGAACATAATATATTATATAAATTTAAGAATGACTTGAACATTTTCATTTTTGACGTATCACAAAACCTGGATTCCTTCATTACACATGAATTATCAAATGTCCTATATACCTTAAATTTCGTATATTAGTAAATGTTTATAGACGTTTTCTCAATTTTCATGTTTTTATATAGCCAGGAAGGGCCAAAATGATACACATGATATGCAAATATAATCAAAATCGGAGACTTGTCGTTATCCATGAAACGTGAGATTAAAATTTATTAAAAACAACCTTTATCTGGACAAACCAGATAGTGCGTTTTCTATATAAATATCTTAAACATGAAACTGCTGTAAAAAAGAAAATTCATGCTTTCTGAATCATTGAAAGTCCATGCAGACAAATCATACAAATCCAAACCAGAAGTCTCTGTCGAGACTGAAGCTCTACTGGTTTGTACTTACAGCAAAGGAAGAGAAAAGTACTTAAGCAGTTGGAAATTGAAACTTTTCAACAACAATAAATAGAATAATGATCCTTGATTAAGTCTCTATATGTTCTTAGTGCAGTCTACTTGCATGCCACATTTATATTATAATCAGACTAAAATTGTAGGAGGAGTAGCATTTTGAAAGAATTTCACAGAAATTTCTATTTTTAGTAACCACGGCAACACCGTTCATCGAAATCAAAAACCGATATACAGAATTATGTATCTTATTGTAGATTACTTGTGTGCCAAGTTATACTGAAATCAGACTAAAACTGTAGAAGGAGTAGCATTTTGAAAGAATTTCACAGAAATTTCTATTTTTAGTAACCACGGCAACACCTTTCATCGAAATCAAAAACCGATACACAGAATTGTGTGTATCTTAGTGTAGTCTACTTGTGTGCCAAGTTATATTGAAATCAGACTAAAACTGTAGGAGGAGTAGCACTTTGAAAGAATTTCACAGAAATTTTTATTTTTAGTAACCACGGCAACACCGTTCATCGAAATCAAAAACCGATATACAGAATTATGTATCTTATTGTAGATTACTTGTGTGCCAAGTTATACTGAAATCAGACTAAAACTGTAGAAAGAGTAGCATTTTGAAAGAATTTCACAGAAATTTCTATTTTTAGTAACCACGGCAACACCGTTCATCAAAATCAAAAACCGATGCAAAGAATTCTGTATCTTAGTGTAGTCTGCTTGTGTGCCAAGTTATATTGAAATCAGACTAAAACTGTAGGAGGAGTAGCATTTTGAAAGAATTTCACAGAAATTTCTATTTTTAGTAACCACGGCAACACCGTTCATCGAAATCAAAAACCGATACACCGAATTATGTATCTTAGTGTAGTCTACTTGTGTGCCAAGTTATATTGAAATCAGACTAAAACTGTAGGAGGAGTAGCATTTTGAAAGAATTTCACAGAAATTTCTATTTTTAGTAACCACGGCAACACCGTTCATCGAAATCAAAAACCGATATACCGAATTATGTATCTTAGAGTAGTCTACTTGTGTGCCAAGTTATATTGAAATCAGACCAAAACTGTAGGAGGAGTAGCATTTTGAAAAATTGTTTACAGACGGACAGACAGACAGACAGACAGACGGACGGACGACGGACGCATTACTATCGCATAAGCTCTTCTGGTCTCTGACCAGTAGAGCTAAAAATTGCTAATCGTGACGTCATAAACATCTGCATTTTCTCGGATTGTCTTAAAAAGTTGCAGGAAACACCGACTTACAATGGAATTTCCCTTTTTAACAATTTACATAAGCATCGCCCACAAAGATAGTGAGATATGTGATTTTTTTTTCGAATTTTACACAACGTATCCAAAAAATAAAGTGAGAAACGGCTGTGGACATTTTTTTAAAAGGAAAATTACTATTAATATTGGCCATTTTGAGGCTTTTCGGTTTAAAATAGAAAATTGTATCAAATCAATGCCTTCATATTCCCAGAATGGTTCTCCCTTATGCCACATTCTTTACTGGTCTTTATTACACACTTAGTAGTAAATACAGGTTTTTTGCATATGCGATATGGCTGACGTCACAATAGCCGTATCAACCCTGCAGGGCTGATATGGATTTGCGGGGCTGATATCCGTATCAGCCCTGCAAATCCATATCAGCCCTGCAGGGCTGATACGGCTATTGTGACGTCAATATCACACCCTTAGTAAATTAAACCACAATAACAGTACTTGTACTCATACACAATTTTTGGTGGGTTCATATTCTCTTAATTTTAACTTTTTGAAAATAAGGTTAATCTTAATTTACAAATACATGTAATACTATAGAATATTTTCTAATTACGGATCAATTGCATTGAAATAGAAATAGAAACAAACCCAAATCTTATGAGACATTAGACTATGTACATGTATGTAAGAAGTCCATGCATGATTATTTACTTATTTTCTTCTCAACTGTATTTTATTACAAAGTATGTAATAAATATAATAAAACATACCCTTTTCCACATCACATCCTGTATCAGCCCTCGACCAATATCAGCCCTCGGGCCTTCGGCCCTCTGGCTGATATTGGTGTCTCGGGCTGATACAGGATGTGATATGGAAAAGGGTATGTATTATTCTCTATATAGCAGTCATAAACGCAATTAATATTTGAATCAGTTTCAAAGGTTTTTGAGAATATTTAAATTTGGGGCATAATAAAGCTAAAACCACACATTCTTCTTCACACAATACTTGACACATTATATACCAATATGATTATAGAATTCATGCCATTTAATTTGATAAATAATCTTGTCCATTTCCATGCTAAAAAAATTTAACATGCAACCTGAATGGAATAAATAATCAACTTTTAAGTGTTAGGATATACACATTCAGCCAAAAATATGCTCAAAAGCTCATGAGAGAACATCTTTTGTGTACTCAAAATTATACAAAAAGTTATTTGACAATAAATTTCTATCTGATATAAGGACCGTCAGGGTAGCTCTTTTAGTAGAGCAGTAGCTCCGTAATCGGAAAATCGAATATTAACAGCGACTGACTCAATTTGATGGAGTCGGTAGAAACCGTTCCTTTGTATGCTTTAGGCACTTTGAAGTGAAAGTTGAGGGATCTATGAAAAAGACCAGAAAACAAGGTCCATGCAATGTCACGGCAGGAGTGGGTACTGTGAAGACCCCTCATCAGTGACAATGGCCATGAGGAAAAAAAGACCTTCTTCGATACATTGAGACCTTTTTATATGATTGCAAATTCTCGAACGCGAGAAACAACCTATAAACAATCAATCAATGTCATATATAACCTCTGAAAACATTGATTCTGCCTATATAAGTGTAATCCTATGTACAATTTTGATCCTCTTTTTGGGGGGCACAATCCTAAATACAGGGGCCACGATTTAGATCAAATCGAATCCACACTGCCAAAGGAAACTTCAATATTAATATGGCAGATCAGAGCTTTAAAGTAATTCAGAGAATATATTCTTAGAAAAAAATTACTATAGTTATAACAGTACTATAGTTTACCATACCTAACTACACTAAATACCCTAGTACTTTGTTTTTACTATGAAACTTTACTCAAGTTTTTTTTTCAAAGGTTTTGAGCCTTAATATATCTTTTTTTTACATATCAAATAAAAAAAGAAATGGTTCTTTTTAATGTGATCAACAGCATGCAGGAATCAAATCAAAATAATATGTGTCTATCTGATTTTTTAGTGAAAAATACGTCGGTTTACCTATAGTATAGGTGTTGAGAGATTTCGCTAAATATTAAAATATTAAATTTCAACTTTGATTGCTAATTGTGGCCCAACCTACCTCGTAGGTTATGGTTTTAACAATTTCAAATTTATCCTGCCTGAAAAAGCCTTCACATAAGTTTTATTTGATTTAGGTCAGTACCTTTTGATAATATTTTCTACGAAACTTTAATGTAAAACGCTGATTACGTATTCCATTTTCCACGCAGCCATTATTTAAACAATTTAGAATTTAAAGTACCTCTAAAGGATAACACATAAGTTTCGTCTTTTCTGGCTCATTGATACTTGACAAGAAAAGTGTTTTGACTCTTAATTTTTATCCTTTATTGAATATATCCCCATGAAAGGCCAATTGATCCTTCATTTTAAGAATATTTCTCAACAAAGAAAAAAAATCATTAAATTTACCCTGCGGTTCCTCAAGCTATTAGTTTTCAGAAGGACGTATGTACAAAGGTTAATCAGAAAAAAAATACACTTGAGCATTCAACCTGACGATCTCACTAGTCACATGTACAATATATAAAGTTTGTTCAACTCTACTAAATAATGCTATCTTTATTAAAATAGTAAAATCGTCACTTTAAAAGACACCCCCCCTTAAAAAATCTGTTACTGGTCGAATCTTTGTTACAATGTATATTGTCCTTTCAATTCATATTTTTTACTGTTAAGTTAACACAGATATTATATAATCTATGTATCCAATTTCAAGGAAAAGTAATCTGACAATGCATTTTCGAATCTATAAAATCTTCCTGGATAATTATTTTACTTAAGTAAGAAGAAAATAGTTATGTCGTTGTGAGCCTGTGTATATAATATTTCAACATGAAAACAACAATATTTGTACTGGCTTGCCAACTTGTGGTGATTTTTAGTTACGGTATGTTCAATACAATCATTTTATTATCAAAATTATGTAGAGTAAAATTTGTGAAAAAGTAAACCACAAATGAGGATTACTTTTTTTTCTGATCATTTTGAGAATGAAAAAATACATGTAGTGTTAAAGAATGTATGACATGAAACCTGTGACCGAAAAATGTCTACTCCTATCATTTTTAAGATTTAAAATGATAATAAATTATACTTTAATACGACTTTTTTTTATAAAAACTTTTTTCCCAAGAGGATCTGTCTTTTAAAAAATATACAGCACAAAGCACAACGCATGTTGGTTGTAAAACTACAATATGTAACTCTGTATATGGTGCACCTAATGCAGTGGATAGACTCAATAATACTTGTACAAGAACGGAACCTATTAGTCCAGAACATACCAAAACAGTTTGGTGGTATGTAGATTTAGGCGATGTGTACAATATCTATGAAGTGTCCATCACCTTCAAAACTTACGAAGGTTGGGGTATGTACATATACATGTTTTAAATTTCATTATTTCATTCCATGTTAGGCCTTAAATGCAAGGATTTAGCATTTTCTTGTAATGTACAAATACAGTATTACATTAATGTTTTGTTTTTAAAATAAATATTTTCTGAAATAACTTCTTCTTGTATGTACAATATACGGATAAAAGAAACCGATTCTACTCAGTCACAGAGAGAAAACATGTATAACATTTAAAATATGAACCTCAATCTCTCTCTTGATTGTCCGAAAACACTGATTACTGTTCGTTACTCTCATATATTTTGCTGACACTTGAATTCATAGGTGAATAAAAGTGCATTGTATTACTCAACAGTATTTATAAAGTTTAAACAACACACATTTTTAATTAAAAATGACAAAATACAAATTGATTTCAACGTTGTTAAGCATAATATTCACTGTTCATTCTTAGAATCAAGGCAGAGGGGTCGTTTTGCTGGATTTTCTCTCTATCTTTCCAATTCGACAAATATAAAAGAGGGTGCTTTGTGTTACAAAAATAATGATGAAATACCCACCTTAGAGTTCAGTACAACCTGCATCGGACATGCTCGCTATGTTTTCTTCTATAACGAGAGACTCGGAGGAATTACATATCCTAAGGGATATGAAAAATTGTCTTATACAGAGCTTTGTGAATTTATTGTCCTAGGTAATGGCCAACTAGAATTTAAGCCAATATATATAAAAGCGTTGATTTAAAAAAAAGATTCTTTATGCTTTGGTGACAAATATGAACCACAACTTTTTTTTTTACAAAAAGGCTGTGCCAGATTAGACATGTATGGAGAAAAATGTGAGTTGAAATGCCCTAAAAATTGTCAGCAAAAAAGTTGTGATATTGTTAATGGAACTTGTCATTCCTGCAACCCAGGTTGGACTGGTGAATTCTGTGATATAGGTATTTTTTTTTATTTTGCTAGAGGAAAGATGATACATGTATAAGAAAGGGATGCCTTAATTGAACCTATTTTGTTTGCAAATGATGTAACTATTATATTTCAAAAATATAGAGAAATGGTAAACTTTCCATGAACTTTCCAACTTTTAATGTTCAAAACTCTACCTTTTAGCAACCACTCTTACTTACATATCTTTACAGTTTTTTGTCACTTAAGATCATTATAGAAAAAAAAAATAATTTTTATATGTACTTACTACTTGGGATTTCAACGACTCAGAAAGCATATTTCTTATTTCTTTGATATTTAAAAAAATACATGCACAGATTCCTATTGAAACCATGCCTTGTTCATTATTATTTTTTTTTTCAATAAACTTTTGGTAAATCCAAGGTTTTGATTCTTTCAATTATATTTAATTTTTTTTCTTTTAGAATGTACGCATGAGACATTTGGTCTAGAGTGTAAATATAATTGTTCTGGCCACTGTTTGGAAGGAATTTCTTGTAATCACGTGACCGGTTATTGTGACAAGGGATGTGCTTCAGGATGGACTGGAAAATATTGTGAGATATGTAAGAATGAACTACTCTCTTACTAAATTATAAGTCGTCATTTTGGAAAATTCAGAATCAAAGGACGAAAATCGTGGAAAATAAATTTCACATAGACAAACAAGAACAAATGCCAACGAAAAACTATATCAGAGAGAGAGAGAGAGAGAGAGAGAGAGAGATGCATTGAGAAATTTATTTTGATAAAATATTAATTCTACAATCTTTACATTAAATAAATTTTCTGCTCGGAATTCTTCTTAAAGCATGTGATGATGGAAAATATGGTCCAGACTGTGCATTTAACTGCAGTGGCAATTGCAAGAATAATTATCAATGTAACAAAGAAACTGGACACTGTGACGTTGGATGTTACCCTGGGTATATTGGAAAAGGCTGTACTGAACGTAAGCTAAAACTGCTGTTCAAATTATATTTTCAGTTAAGTTGCTGTTTGATTGGATAGAAAAATAATTGTATATTGTCTACTTGACAATGAGTTACGCCAGTAAGGCATCAATCCTCTTGACATTACTTTAAAATTAAGATTCATTAAAAAACATTTTTGAGGGAAAATTTGTCCTATTTCTGAAGAAAAATAGAATCATAAGAAGTGAATTTGATAACAAAGTTGTACTCTTATAGCCTGGCTTGGAACAGTTTCAGTATTTTTTTTTTATAAACTGCCACGCAGTTCCTAAAGCATTAATTGACCCATTTAATTATTTCAATACTACTATTATTATTAGTAATTATTATCATTCCTTAAATATAGACATTCTAGTCATTTGCAAACAATAGTTATCTTTCTTTTTTTTAAAGTAATATGATGAAACAAGTTGCATTTCAATGTTACATTTTTCTACACAGTTTGTTCTGCTGGAACATTTGGAGAAGATTGTTTAAAACTCTGCAGTGGTAATTGCCAATACAATGAAACATGTAGTCCCTTTAATGGTGAATGTATGAACGGTTGTGCTCCTGGATATAACGGGTCACGATGTGACACAAGTATGTACTACTAAAAATGTAATATTCTTTTTTATTACATTGATATATGCATATAGACATATATGGATGGTAAATTCAAGAGCAGCATGTTCTTAAATCTGTAATTAAAAATTCAGTAGGTAATACATGTAAAATACCCTCCCCTCGGTTTTTGGATACAAATGATTTAAAAGAATATGCATAAGATTGAGGAAAGATGATTTAATTTCCTAGTTCTAATTCAACTACACGGATCATTAGAGGATTTCAAGCTTAAAAAAAGATGATTTTGAATGTTACCAAATATTACAATGCCATGAAAAGGAACAAATTGAAATGAAACCTAGAAAGCAGACTATGAAAAGTTAAGGCATTTTGTAACTATTGCATTAAAAATATTTTTATATATAATCAGAAAAAATCTATTCCTTCTTTCGAAATGATTATATATAAATTAAAAAAAAGGAGTATGGGCAAAATAAAGCATTATTTGCGATAATTTCGCCAGTTCTTTTTTTAAGTTTTGAATCCCTCACCTTCTTTTTTTTCTTTTTTTGCAACTGGTTAAATATTCTACCAAATTAGGCAATTAAATGATTTGCTATAGAATAGGTTTTGAGAATTTGCAATTATTTCTAGTTTATTAATAGACGTTTATTTTCAGTACTTATTTTCAGTTTGCCCAGATGGCTCGTTTGGTTTCAATTGTTCTAATGTATGCTCTCCTTACTGCATTGACATCTGTGGATATGCTGATGGCAAATGTAGGTGTATGCCTGGTTTTAAAGGCTCCCCGTCCTGCGCAACAGGTATGAGATGACTTAATTTCACCTTGAGGAATAGGAAATTTTATGATTAAAACTAAACTAAAATATCAATGAAACAGTAACAAGAGTTATGTTTTTGATAAAATGAATGTAAAACAAAATAATTAGTATAAAGAAACTGTTAATTTAGCCAAGATCGCTTCCTAATACAGTGATTTAATTTATTTTATTTTATTTTATTTTATTTTTAACTAAATTTTGTCTTTCTATTTTTTTTTTCAATGACAACAATGACAGACATTTAATGTAAAACTTTTTTTTCAAATCAATTATAGCCTGTTCAGAGGGTTCTTTTGGGATAAACTGCCAATACAAATGTAGTGGCCACTGTGTCGGTAACGAGATCTGCAGCAGGTATGACGGAAGCTGCTCCAGAGGATGCAAAGAACCGTATTCAGGTTTAGCTTGTGATGTGAAATGTAAGTTTTAAACTTTACTTTTTATTTTCTATCCGTTCAAAATTCACAAGCAATTCGATTAAGTTGAAATTTATCCTTATTAATATGGTGACGTTGCTACTGTTAGTGCGAGCGCATGTAAATAAAATTAGACCGGGGTCGTCAAACCGCACGTAAGGCTCATAATCTAGTTAAATGATGTGTTCAAATTTAATTTATAAGATTAATTGATATAGGATATTAAAAAGATTCAAATACCCAGAGGACAAGATTGTTTCCGATGAAAGAGATCTGGGATATTTTTCATCTGTTTATATACTGATACTAAAGTGAAATAAAGAACATTACAAAAATACACCAAAACACAGGAAAATAGTCACCAATCCATTCACGTTGATTTTTAAGAAACATTATATACCGTATCCTACAATCTAATTTTTGAAAAGGGGAAAATCATAAATATTTTAAGGAGTTTGCTAAATGTAAATTGCACGACCTTTATACATGTACTACCAATGAAATGTCAAAGGGTGCGGCGAATTATTTTATATTATCATCCTTTTCTCGGCACAACGCCGAGCAGCAAGAATTCAAATTGGAACAACATCAGATTATTCAAAGACAGGCCCGGAGCCGTAAAACTTAATTAGTCGAGCTCATTTTTGATCTCAGTATCACTTTTCAACTATTAATTACCTTGGTAAAAAGTGATAAGTTCCAATATAAGCTTATATAGCTTAGTTTTATGCCCCCCAGGTCTAGTCTTGAAAAATTAAACATATATTGTCAATGAAAAACTCAAACATTCACACTCAATTAGATCGGGGTACTCGTTTGATGAATAGGTATGTTTCAATCGAAGTTTAAAAATGAAAGAATACTTATCGAATTATTCACATGTAAAAATCAATTTACCTAATGTTTCAATTCGGAAAAGTTCTGGTTTCAATGTGCATCCTGACAGGATACAAGCAAAATCTGCTGTGGTAGTATTAAACACCTATTGCCAGACTTTAGGACAGTTTGTCGCCCTCTAGCAACCTTATTCCCTAATAACGCCCTGGGAGCCATTTCACTTGCTTTTGTCAACATATCCAGTTATGACTGTATATTATTTTTCTCTAAGTATCGAATTCTTTTCCTTTAGGCGACACTTCAACAACTACATCAACAGTAGGATTTGCCATAGTAATTGGAATATTATGCATTGCTTTGATAGCTGTCTCCTTTATATTCTTCAGGTACATATGTATAATGTTTCCAGCAAAACATATCAAACCATATTTTATTTAAGTTTCAAAGATTATAACAGTAAGGAAAATCAAAGTTTTACGACTTCTCTTTCCTCTGATGTGTTTTCTTTGTAAAACAATTGTCATTTTATGGACTGTAGAAGAGTATTATAATCTAAGAGACATTCTTAAAGCTATACGTTAGTTTCGAAATACTTTTATTTATTTTTCAGGAATCTTTGATTCTTAGAGCCGTCATTTAAACTTAAAGTGACCCCATGTTATTTTGAATCAACTTGCTATCCAGTTTAATGATAATATACATTATCTCTTAGAGGCAGCGACTCAGTTTTGTTATCAGGGTAAAGGGAAGAAAATTAATACTGAAAAACGAAATTATTGAAAATTCACCTCCGAAGAGAGAAGATGAAAAACCTGATTATTTAGAACTTGAAGCTTCCGGCCACATGCCTTCATATGACACGTTGACTAAGTCTAAAAATTCACGCTATTTCCTGAAAAAATGCTTTGATGTAAAGGAAAAATTGAGTAAATCAAGACTGAAAGATAGTCGTTTTGTCAAACATTCACCTCCGCCGCAAAAAGAGGATGAGATTCCTAAGTACTTAGAACTTGATGCTGCAAGTGACATGCCCTCATATGAAAATTTTCCTGTATCTTAAAATTATTGCGCTTATCGGAACACATTATTTAAGGAATGACTCTAATTCTTGGGCAAATTGTTCGATTATAACCTGGCTGGGGTCAGTTTACGCTTTTTTTTTTTATAATCCGCTTCGCTTCCTTAATGTCTGAAATAAATGTTTAAAAAAGTATGTAATTCCATGTACAACAGGTATACTATCCAACATAAAAGAAATTACAATGGGAAACTCATCTTCATTGCAAACAATCTGAAAGATTGTACATATGTCTTTTCAATTTTGATTATTTATTTTATTTATTTGATACCAATTACAGATATTTTCATATTATTGTATAAAAACTATGTGTTTTCAACGTATACGACGGCATAGAAATAAAATAACAGTATACAAGCATATGATTATTTTTAACTGATTATATGAAGGGTTTGAATGCAGCAGTCTCATGTATGCACATTTAGTAAGATAACGCCATCATCTTCATTCTTTAAATTGTAAACTCCAACTTACTGTAATCTAATCCGTTTTAAGAAGAAGGTACTGTTTGGTTTTTATTATGCCCTTAGAATTTAAAAAGATATGAAATTGAAAACTATACTAGAGGTACTGTGAGCGATGAGCTCACTAAATGATACCCCCGCCTCCCATATGGTTATAACTGGTGAAAAAGTCCATGTTTTCCTGTGGCCGGGAAACCCAAAATATGTGTCGAATCAAAAAGTAAAATAGGAGGTGCACAATGGCAATATGTAATGAAGATTCTGTGAAAGTTTCATCAAATTTCATTCAGTGGTATGAGAGGAGTTGCGGATAAGAGATGGGTACCCCAAAGCGTAACAGACGGACGGACGGACGGACGGACGGACGGACGTACAGACGGACGGACGGAATTAACGATTACTATATACCCTCCCGCTTTTCAAGCGGGGGGTATAATAAAGGAGGACTATTTTGGAAATATGACGTCATCAACTTCGTACATTTCTTAGTTTAAACAGAAAAGCCTGAAAATGACTCATTAATTACAGGGTTCTTTCCCTTTAAAAAACAGTGTCATCAGGCGTGGCCCACATTAATTTTCAGATATGTTGTGTAAAATCCTTAATGAAATCACATTTCTTAAAATTTGTGTAGGCTATGCATGTGCTTTTTATTATGAGGAAAAAAAAGCAACTAAAAATTCATTTCTTCTGCAACTTTTTAAGAAAACATGCATTTGAAAAATTCAGTGATTTATGACGTTACAATTAGCATTTAGGAGGTCAGATCACTTCCGTATTAAAGAAATATACAGTGTCAGATTGAATTGAACATTACCCTTGTTTTTTTCTTTTTCTGGTAATTGTACCTCAAAACAAGAATTTAATCGAAATTAATTTTTTGATTTAGATTTCGCAGTTGTATTCTTCCTTGACTTTGAGATTTTTATCTAGTTTTATTTTTTAGATAATTTTATTTTTGGTTTGATCCATTTCTTTCTTTTGAATGTTTAAATTTTATAACCAGCTGTAAACAGAATCCTTTCATGTAATTCCTTTCTTCTTTGAACTTTAGTAAATGTTTTTTTCCTTGGCTTTCCATAGCATCAACAATTTAATGATTAACTAATGTGGAAAAAAAGTATCGAATAACTATAATTTCTTCCAGACAGAATTTGCGACTGAAAGGAAAATTTATCTCAGTTTTTCAATATTAGTGAAACAAAATTCATCAAATTGAAAAAAAAGTTATCCCCGCCCATTTCCATTCACGACAAAACAGAGATAGAATACCTCCATCTTGCTTAAAAAGAAAGGGAAGACCTAAATAATAAGGGTATCGGTACATTGTCTATTGCATGAAATCAGAGAGAATACAACGGAAAACATTTTGTCTTATTTGATCATTTGAACGATACCATGGACCTTTCCAAAATATTTATCTTTTTGTTGTTGGGATTTTCCGTGTCTGGATATGGTATGTATTGTTTTAATTTTCCTCTGCAGTATTAGATAAATGAAGAAGAAAGGTGATTGTTGTACAATTTAGGAAAATTCAACAGTAAAGAAATATTTATATAGTATATCATTAATACATTATGGCTCTTTTTATAAAGAAACGAAAAAAAAATTAGTAAATAAATTTTCAAGAATATCGATAAATAAATTTACTGATTATTCAAAGAGATATACACACATATATAGATGCAAGCACCGTGTTAAAAACATAGAGAGTAAAGCGAACAACACAATAAATGATATTATATCCAAAAAGTTTTAAATGCATGCTTTTTTGTAAAACAATTAACTAGGCAATCTGAGAGAAGGAGTGAATGGCTTCTTCCAATAACAATTTTTTAAAAAGGGATTTTCCTCTATGAAATTGCAAAAAATGATCTTGCTATAACAGTTTCAATACATTTTAAAATATATTGGTTTTGTTTCAAATGTAAATAGAAAACGGATATCAAATGTCAATTTGTTATCGAACATTTCCGTCTCGTACAGTGTAAAGCTTCATTATTTAATAAAGTTTTTGAATTAGTAATTATTTGAATGAAATCTATGTAAAGAAAGAAAACTTCCAATTAGATACATTTTCTTACCAGTTCTTTTATCATGTAAAGTTTCCGCTTAAGGTAATAATAAAGATTCAAAATTGTTAGCAAAAGGAAATATTTGTGAACGTTATCTCAAGAGTCAATAAATGTTTTTTTTCAGTAAATTTATAGAGCAAAACATCTTTTCTTTATTTAAATACTAAACGTAACTCTGGTAAAATGCTTTGCATGAACAAGTTTTGGATACCAGCGAGAAAAAGGCGCGATTTGTCCTATAGCAAGCATTTAAAAGTTTTTCTTAAGTAAGCAGGAAATTTTTAATCTTTTCATAGTTATGCGACGATATCGTCAATTAAATTTAAGTTAAGGATTATTTTTTTGAATGAAAGGATATCCATTTCAATAATTGTAAAGCACTGAGTTAAATGCATGACATTTCCGGTTCAAAAAACTGTATGTTCGATGCATAGTACATGTAAATAATGTCATATTGATGGTGAATTAGAATTATGACTCATGTGAGTAAAGATCGGTTTTATTTTCTCAATAAAAAGCATTCAATTGAGTCCCATTTATATTTTGATTATATACTAAATTAAACTCCATTTTGATAATTTTCCGTCGGTAGCAATACCGCTCGAACTTGTAGAAGTGCTAGGGATGCTCCAATACTACTAGTAGTAGTATAGGAGCTGCACAGGGACAAGGAATGTAGAGAATATTGCTAAAACGATAAGCGTATTCGTGATTTATATCAAAAGTGCAAGGGCATAGACTATTTTGTTTGAGCTGAAATATGGAATATTTATTACTGATATTGTGTATATTTTGAAAAGTGCTTGAGCATATCCTCGTCTGCATAACATTTTTATTTATAACAGAATTTAAGCGAAGTGGAAATTTTAAGCTTTTATCAGCATTTTCGGAAAAAATTTCAGTACTTTGCAAACAGCACAGACCAGCTCCCGGCACTTTTTGGGTAGAGGAAATAAACATTTTTTAATGTGTATCAATAGTTTTCTTGAAAAAACAAGCGTATGCCCTTGCACTATCCTCATTTCCTACATTCAGCTTAACAATTCTATTTTTATACAAGTCACGTGACAAACAACTGATACATTGGCGGATCCAGAGGGGGGGGGTTTCCGGGGGTTGGAACCCCCCCTTTATTTTTTGCCAAATTGAGAGAGAGAGAGAGAGAGAGATAAAACGTAATCTGAGAAAAAAAATTGTACGTCTAACTTATGTATTGAATAGATAAATTCCCACACATTTAGTTTCCTCCATTCACCTTCATTGTTACTTTTTAAGAGCGAATGGTAGGAAATATTCTACTTATTTTTATATGTCTTATATGATATGTAACATGCGAGGTTTAATTTGATATGATATTTCGCGATCTTTGGCTTTGTTGGCTATATATATGTACCCTTTTTAATCATATCTATTGGAGGAACTTACAAAAAACTCTTTGTGTTAAACCCCATTCGCATGTTATCCCCAAAAAGTTATTTTTTTCAAATTCTTAAAGAAAATTCTTTTTACTCTAACTCGGAAATGCTGCAGATCCATTCAATTTTATCGGGCTTCATTAGTTTTTGTAATGGGTTTGTTTTTTTTCTGACTTGGGGTTCCTAGCCTTTTCAAAGAAAAAAAAGATGTACACAAAGATATTATAATATACCACAACATATTAAGTTCTTTCAATACGTGTGTATGAATCTTTGCTTGAGAGTGTGTATAAGGCGGGGGGGAGGGGGGGGGGTAGAGATACACAACCCTGGAACCCCCCCCCCATTCAAAAATTGCTGGATCCGCCCATGTGATACACGCGATATAACTGGTAATAACTACGGCCCAGTCCTATCCATTATTGATAGCTATATTACATTTTCTACATGTATTCAGTTGCTTTGTTACAATTTTTAAAAGAAGTAATACACATTAAAACAGTGCAGTGGTCACATTTTCCATATCGGTCCTTAACATAGCTGATCATTTACCTATGTTATTTATAAAACATGCGTGTTTATTCTGATCTAATCAGTGTTTTTTTTTAAATATAAAATAAGTTCGCGAACTTTTCGATCACCCCTCGCATAACACTTTTTGAGTAGATATGCGTATAACGTGCAAACACGAACCACATACCGTGTCAATTTCCATTTTTTCCCGAGTAACCTAATTTGTAAAACTTTTTTGCGTATCAAAGAACGCCTGGAGGAAAGAGTGGCGGCATCTCCATATAAGTGAAAAATTCTCGAGAGGGATGTACAACAAACATACTAAAATAAACAATCTATTTTTTATGGTCATTTAACAATTTTTTTTATATATTTTAATAGATGAACTATCAAACGGTAAGAACGCCTCATAGTCTACAGTCTGGCCATGTAATCCTCCCTGTGACCCAGACAAGGTTGTTGATGGTGATAGAAAAACATGCATGAAGATGTTTCCTATAGGTCCAGACTCTCCAGATAAAACTGCATGGTGGATGGTAGATCTGGGTGACAATCGAGCCATTTACAGCATCAGTATAAAGTTTAAAGATTATCGAGAATATGAAGGTTTAGGTATGGTTTTGTTATAGTTTTCAATGGCCTACATATACTGTATATGTACAAGCAATAATTCTATTTTAAGGACAGATGATACCCAAAAATGGATGCCTAGATTGGTATATATTTTTTGGCCTACACTGCTATATCATTGCAAATGATGCATATGGGAATTATAAATTACTGGAATATAGAGAAATATTTAACCTTCTACGATGTTCAAAGTTTTGCCTCTCTGAAACTATAGTTATAAATCTATACAAATACTTTTCACTTCAAATCCCATTCTTGAAACCTGTTCATTTTACTCATTAAAAATTTTCTCAAATGTTATTTTCATTTTTCTTTTTCGAAAAACTTCGTATCATCTGTCCTTAAGTGAAATATTTCACAATCAATTTAAATAATAATTTCCTTTTTCTGCACCTAAAGTACATTTACCCCTTTTAAAAACATTGAAATTCGATTCCTAACCTAAGCTGAGATATCGGGGGATTCAAGTTATCGGGGGTAAAATACCTAACATATGTGGTTGGGACTTCCATATTACTTCAACATATCCATGGTGTTCAAGATATATGAGTTCGAGATACCGTACTTCATCTGTATTTCTAGCAAAGAAAGGAAAATCAACATCTTTTTGATGTGTAGTTTATGTTAAGTTAAATCAATTTAAATTAAAACAAATCTAAAGTACATGTAAACCCTGGCAAAGTGAAATTAAAATTGTTTTTTTTTTTTCAGAGATGAGACAAAGAGGTCGTTTTGCAGGATTTTCCCTTTATATATCCGATAATCCCATGAAAGAAGACGGTGTACTCTGTTACAAAAACACACTGCCGTTACCTCCCTTGGATTTTAACACAACGTGTATAGGACATGGTCGTTACGTCATCTATTACAATGAAAGACTGGACGGAGTTACTTATCCTCTAGGATACGAGTCGTCCTCTCTCATTGAATTATGTGAAGTAAATGTACAAGGTAATGCTAGTAGCATTACCTTGTACTTTTACTTCACATTAAGTAGCCTACTTAATGCAGCATTTAGCATTTTAATGTTTCATAACATATTTATGGATGCAAACCATTCTGTTAGGTCTGTGTACATGCAAAGATTCTTCGAAAAGCACGTAAACTTACATGTATCTCCTTTTATCTTCATTTTATTTAACGTCACATTGTAAAAAATAACATTTGAAAAATATTTATAAACAATGCGTTCAAATAATTGAATAGCAGATCTTGAATGATCAAAAGTTGAAAGCTGAAATATGGGGTCAAAATTTTATAGGTCAATAACAATAAACTCATTTTGTACTTCAATAAATTGTATTAATTGGACGAGCTTGAGAAATTATAAAAGATACCACAAATCCTGACATATATGTTTCATATTTAAATTATTTACTTGAAAAAATATAAATGGTAATCAAACAATCAAGATATATGAAAAGTTTTTCATTACACAACTCTCCAGGGAACGCTGCAAATATATATAGGATCTAAACTTGTCATTTAGGACAATTATGCAATGGGAGATCTTGTGGTAAATAGGCCTCATCCGAAAGACTTGCAAATAAATCGGCATAGATATGATTTATATGTGTCTGTCAAAAGAAAAAATGTATAACATTCTGTTTGCATCTTTGATTTGGGTAAATTAAAACTTTTGAATTGTAAATCTGAAAATTTGACTGAATTTCGTTCTGATCAGGTTGTTCAAAAGGAGTGTATGGAATAAACTGTGATATACCATGTCCAATCAACTGTCAAGACCAGAAATGTTATATTATAAACGGAACATGCCTGGGTTGCTCGTCTGAATATGCTGGGAAAATGTGCAAAGACGGTATAGACGTAGAATCTATAGAAAAAATAAATTAAAACACAAACTTTTAAATTCAAACTTATCTGTATTTTTAATATAATCTATTATCTTTAAAAAAAACTTTCTATACCCAGAATGCGCATGGGGATGGTACGGTGCAGGGTGTAAGAGACAATGTATGGGACACTGTAGAGGAAACATTACATGTAACCACGTGACCGGAAACTGTGATGGAGGATGTCTAGCTGGATGGACGGGAAAAGAATGTAAACAACGTAAATATAACATAATATCCTTCACAAAACCATTTAAAAAGGGGAAATAGGAATTAATATTGTTGAATATTCAATTATGTACATTCGAATTCTTGAATACCCACTGTGGGATGTGGAGACCGGTCATTTGGATGAGACCGTATAGACAGAGGCCCAAGTTTGCATTGGCTACTGGTATGAAAAAAAACCCTCACGGCTCGATAAAAATAAATGAATTATGTATAGATTTTTCGGATATGGCCTGAAGACATGTTTCACAAAAAAAAAAATCAAAATTAATCATACTTTCGCATCATAGAATGTAAGAATGGAACTTATGGCTATGGATGTATTCACATCTGCAGTGACCACTGCCTGGATGGCACCTTCTGTAATAGAGAAAATGGATTTTGTGAAGCGGGATGTAACCCAGGATATTTTGGAAATTTCTGCACCACATGTAAGTGCATCCTGTTTTTGTCGTTTTGATTGATCTGTTTTAAGTTCATTTGAATTATACGATTACATATATGTTTCTTCCATAGTGTGTCCTATTGGTTTGTTTGGTATCGATTGCAGTGAACGTTGTGGTAGATACTGTAACAATGCAATATGCGACCCTTTAAATGGGAGCTGTATCAAAGGGTGTTTGAACGGCTACACTGGAATGAGGTGTTCTAATCTTAAGATTCTATAGCTTGAATAAATTTAAATACAGTTTCATGGCAAATCTTAATATAAAAAAAAACATTATATGTGTATTTTGTGTATTAACTTCGAATTTGAATAGAAATATAGCATAGATATACAGTAGAAGTACCTTTTTCCGCGTGGTATTAATTTACGCTATGTACGCGGTCACTAATTTTCCACGGAAATTTGTGCAAGCGTACTTAATGTAAATGTAAGGCATATGTTGCGAGTCTAAGAAATCCGCGTAATTTTCTACCTGTGGATTAAACGGAAATTGGGATTCCGCGGAATAAAGACCCCGTGGAAAAAAGTACGTCTACAGTAGATATACAAAATACATATACATGTATACTTGGATATTGCAGTGATGGACTCAGGATGAAACTTTGCAATTCAGTAAACAGAAAGGAGACTGGAAGTTAACTGAATGATGACTGAATGGCAGTTCCTGTCATACCGTCACTTTTCCTGACCTTTCAGTGACCTTTCAATTGACTGAGTGACAGAGGCTATTCTTGTATGATTGTTGACTTTTTCTTACATTGATTAAAGAAAGTTGAAACATCCTTATCATCTTTGATTTCTATTTTATGACAACAGAGTCTAATTAATACATATAATGTGCAATTAAACCTCAAAGACATATAAAGTCAGTTATTTTTCGATCCATGCATGTTTTTCCGAGATGATTTAATAGGACTGTAAAATAATTTTAGAATATAAATATTTCAAATTTATTTAGTAGTAATTGTAAATATAAATCATTTGGATTTGAAGCTTGTCCAAACGGTACTTTCGGATATAATTGTGAAAATACCTGCTCAAAGAACTGTTTTGGTTCATGTGATAATACTGATGGTCGATGTTTCGACTGTTTACCCGGGTTCACAAGGTCACCAGACTGTAAATCAGGTTAGTACTATCTAATCACTGAAAACAATTCTTGATAAAGGCAGTCGTAAATAAATCTATCTTAGTTGCACTGGGTGAAAAAAGTGGTTTCCCATCATGGGAAACTTTATGGAAACCACATGGAAACCTCAAGTTTACATCATGTTTCCCAGTGGTTTCTGAGCGGATGCTAGGTTATTCCGCCAAGTTTCCGTGACACGGAAACCCCCTACGCTCCGATTCCATAAGGTATCCCGAACCACGGAAACCTCTGTAAACCTGAAGTTTCCCGAACATCCATGTAGTTTCCCGTAATGGGAAACCTGAAGATTCCACTGGTTTCCAGAATCAGGAAACTTGATGGAATCGGAGCGTAGGGGGTTTCCGTGGAATGGAAACTTGGTGGAATCTTTAGGTTTCCTTTTACGGGAAACTACATGGAAGCTCGGGAAACCTCACGATTTCTAAAGTTTCCTTGACTCAGGAAACCATATGGAATCGGAGCGTAGTGGTTTCCATGGAATGGAAACTTGATGGAATCTTTAGGTTTCCTTATATGGGAAACTACATGGAAGCTCGGGAAACCTTACGATTCCTAAAGTTTCCTCGACTCAGGAAACCATATGGAATATGAGCGTAGTGGTTTCCGTGGAATGGAAACTTGATGGAATCTTAAGGTTTTCTTTTATGGGAAACTACATGGAAGCTCGTGAAACCTTATGATTCCTGAAGTTTCCTTGACTCAGGAAACTATATGGAACTTGTGTAGCACTTTCTGTGTGGCGGAAACTTGGTGGAATTATGTGGAGTCCCATTCCTGGTGGAAAT